AGAGAGAGAGAGAGAGAGAGAGAGAGAGAGAGAGAGAGAGAGAGAGAGAGAGAGAGAGAGAGAGAGAGAGAGAGATGCACGGGCGGCTGCGGGCGGATTCGGGTGGGTGCGGGTGGGAAAAAGTTAGGTCTCGGATGTGGGCCGATAATGATGTTCGTACGGGTGCAGGTGGGTCAGGGTGAAGGCTCTATTCGGTTGTCGGGCGGGTCGGGCACGGGGCTGAAATTTCAAAAACTGTATTGGGTTGGTGGGGTCATCTTGAATCGGAAATTAAAATTCTTGGGTCGGGTGGGCGGTACAAAAAATAAATAAATGGGCGGGTTGAGAAGAAGGAAAAAAAAATGCCACCTCTGCTAGAAAGAGTAAATCGACCAAAGTCGGAGTCTGGATTAAGGAACCTGGATTAGAAAACAGCCATTGCAGCCAAAGACCTAAAGAAACCACCCAATGGCCAGGTTCTGAAATCCAGACTCCCATCTCTCTCTCTCTCTCTCTCTCTCTCTCTCTCTCTCTCTCTCTCTCTCTCTCTCTCTCTCTCTCAGCTCGCTGCGTTTGCATCCAGGTTCGGAAATCCAGACTCCCAGCTCGCTCCGCTTACGCTTTTGAGCCACATTTCTTCGCAGAGGGTCGGGCAGAAAGGTGTGGCCAGAGTGGTAGGAGACACTTGAAGAGACTCCCACCAGAGTCATAACATGCCTCCAGAGCATCTTAATGAGCCTCGCTCCACTACTCACCACTTGCACGACAGGCAAAAAATATGGCAGAGTATCTCTCCATGTTCTAGCGGAAAAGATTCATTCTCATAATATGTTCTAGCGGAAAAGATTCATTCTAGCGGAAAAGACTCATTCTCATAACTTGTTCTAGCGGAAAAGATTCATCCTAGCGGAAAAGATTCAACCAAAGTTGTAATTCAATTGTCATGACGTTCAATATTTGGAATCGTTGATTACAACGAGTAGGATCCTCAGAGGCTATATGCCCAGCAACCATTCTATCTCTCTGGTTGAAGATATAGTCCGATGCCCTTAGGAAACTAGTGGATGAATTGACCCGAGCTTATTTCACCGCAGCAACCATGATTATAGCGGTGCCAACTTGTTCTAGCGGAAAAGATTCATTCTCATTTTGCACAACTGGCGAGTAGTGAATGGAGCGAGGCCCAACAGATCGGTGGGAACCAAAAGGCGAGATGCTTACATGGTGCTGCGATCTGCACCTTCTTCTTCGCTTCCTCCCTTGCCACACCACCTACGCCAAGTCATCATCCCAAATCCTCCTCCTCCTACTACTCTTATCTTGTTGTTTTTCCTCGTTTAGCTCTTTTTTTTTGCCCTTCTTTGTCCTCCTCCTCCTACCCCTTTTTTCTTTTCTTTATCTTTCTCCTCCCTTTTTCCTCTTATGCACGTTTCAACTGAGAACTGAGAGCTGAGAACTGTGCATGCGCAGATGTAATGTTTATATGTTGACGCATGTGCAAGGAGCAGTCTATGGCCACTGTTTTCACTATTGACTATTCATCTTTTGTCCTCTTTTTTTCTTCATTGTCCTCCTCCTTTCTTCCTCCTTTTCCTCTTTTTTCCCTTCATTGTCCTCCTCCTTTCTTCCTCTTTTTTATCCTCCTCCTCCCCTACACTCCCCGCGCATTTCCTCTTTTTTCTCTTTCTCCATTTTCCTCCTCTCCTTTCTTCTTCTTTTTCCTCCTCCTCCTCCTCCTCCTCCTCCTCCTCCTCTGGGCGGATCGTCGAGTCTCGTTAGCACTTAACCTTGATACTACAGTAAGTGCTCATGCGCAACCAGATGACCCGCCTTGGGAATGTGTCTATACTCAATAGCCAAATGTTTATGACCTTCGTCACCACTTCGTGATGTCAATGCAGGTGCTTCTGCCTTGTATACTCAATAGCCTTGTACATTACCTTTTCGCAGGACATCAGGAAGTGACGAAGGTCATAAAGATTATACTTCCAAGGCTCGCGAGCCTCCAACTCGGTCCATTACCTTTTCGCAAGACAGGGCCAAGAAGCTCTTACCGTATAAAACGGTAAAAGCCCAACTTCGCTTCGGGTGAACTGGTGGTTTAAGAAGGGAAATGTAGATAGCGTCTAACATTAGGATATTGAGCAGACTCGGGATTTCAACTCTAAATCGAGGCTCAATGTCTCTTCTTCCACCTCTTCCCTTCCTCCTCCTTTGAGAAGCGTGTACGCAAGACAGTTGGCCCCTGTTTTCACTATTCACTCTTCTTCCTCTTCTTCTTCCTCCTCCTCCTCCTCCTCTTCTTCTTCTTCTTACTCCTCTTCTGCTTGTTCCTCCTCCTCCTTCTCCTCCTCCTCCTCCTCCTCTTCTTTCTCCTTCTTCTTCTTCTTCTTTTCCTTTTCTTCTTCTCACTCCTCTTCTGCTTGTTTCTCCTCCTCCTCCTCCTCTTCCTCCTCCTCCTCCTCCTCTTCTCCTCCTTCTCCTCCTTCTCCTCCTCCTTTCTTCTTCTTCTTACTCCTCTTCTGCTTGTTCCTCCTCCACCCCCTCCTCTTCTCCTTCTTCTTTTTCTTACTCATGTTCTGCTTGTTCCTCCTCCTCCTCCTCCAGATGGTCGGGAAGTTAGTGGTGCCGCAAGGCGATCTTGGGAGAAGCCCATGCGGAATGCCTGCAGCGCAGCCTGGCTGAAACGCCTCGGCGAATATGCGCGTTTCTACTGAGAGAACAGTGCATGCAGAGTTGTAATGTTTATCTGTTCAACTATGTGCGAGAAGGAGTCTATGCCCGCTGTTTTCACTCCTTCTTCCTTCTTCTTCTTCTTCTTCTTCTTCTTCTTCTTCTTCTTCGATTACTGAGAGCGTTTTGCACAAGTATAATGATACTCTTGAAGCCCATACGAAAGGCAGCTGCCCACTGTTTTCACTGTACATGCGGAGAAGTCATGCAAATCTGTCGATGCTTGTACGTGAAGATGCAGTCTATTGCCACTGTTTTCACTCTTCTTCTTGTTGCGCTCTCAGAGCATTTCCTTTGCTGCGAAATAGGTAACAATCAGCAATCAGTCAAATAAGGATCCCAAAGCCATAGGCCCATAGGCCCATAGATCGGATGTGTTCTATATTCGGTGATGTGTTCTATATTCGGTGATGGGTACTATGTTCGGTGTTCTCTGGTCGACTGCCATCGGAGCCTATGAGGTCTCTTCCACTTGCGAGCATAGCGTCCCTACAGTAGCTTCTCTTCTTCCCCATCATGCCCGTTTCCCTTCCTTCTCTCTTCCTTCTCTCTTCCTTCTCTCTTCCTTCTCTCTTCCCTCTCTCTTCCTCCTCTCCTTGTTGAATGCTTACGCTCGGTAGCCTTGGCTTCTCCATGCTCTGCTGCATCTTACTATGCCTGATTTCTAGAGGAAGCAGGGGAGGAGGGCTTCAGGCAGCTCTCGTTTTAGGTCGCTATAATGACGGTGTAATTCAGTAATTTGAGTGATAGACGGGGGCAGAAAGGAGAGAAGAGGGGGAGGAGAAGGCCACGAAGAGAAGGATAAGATCAAGTGGAGGAGAAGCAAGAGGCACACAACAAGAGGACAAAGCGGGAAAAATAAAAAGATGAAGATGCATACAAAATGAAAAGGAAAATGAAACGCAAAAAAAGAAGAACATGGATAGAAAAAATGAAACATTCCCAAAAAAAAAAAAAAAAAAAAAAAAAAAAAAAAAAAAAAAGTCTGAAAAAAAAAAAAAAATTATGCAGAGCAAAAAAAGAAAAAAAGAAACACGACGTGCGGTCGAGTTAGAAAAAGAATGCAAGCAAAAAATGAAGCGACGAAATTCGCAGAGGACGTCAGGGCGGAAACGAAGACACGAAGACACGAAGCACAAGACAGAATGTTACCTACTTCCCAAAAAAAAAAAAAAAAAAAGGAATGTTACCTACAGGCTAACCATCAAACTGTCAACAGTCCAGAACAGCTAAATCTGAAAGTACTCAAAAAAAAATAAAAAAATAAAAAGGTACTTCAAAAAGAAGGGGCCAAATCTCTGTCACTCTTTCTTCTCACGCTGACTCCCTTTATTCTCGCCCGTCCACTTTTTAACCTCCTTAACACATACCCGCTTGGCATGCTCGAATCGTTCTGTCTGTTCCTCTCTCTCTCTCTCTCTCTCTCTCTCTCTCTCTCTCTCACACACACACACACACACACAAGAGTGGGGAGAAGGGCGTGCAGCAGGGACCTAGAAGTCAGTTGAGGAGTAACAAAATACCAGAAATGTCAAGAAATCGAACGGCCTTTTATGGCTAACAGGCTGTGCCCCCGTCTTCCTCTCGCATGAGCGATCATATTCTCAAACCCCGATCAATTGTTCTCATTCTTCTATCGTTCTCGCCCTCCCCACCCGCAATCAACGTCTCGCACCCATCTCTCACAAGCGATCATCTTGCCAAACCCCGAGTTCTTGTTTCTTCCCTACGCCCTTCAACCCACTGCAACCCTCGTTCCTATCCATCGCCCTCCTCTCAAAGCTGCTCTCCATCACACAGAATCTCACACATTCGTTCCAGTTCGCCTGCACAAATCCACTCCTCCCCTCTCTCTCTCTCTCTCTCTCTCTCTCTCTCTCTCTCTCTCTCTCTCTCTCTCTCTCTCTCTCTCTCTCTCTCTCTNTCTCTCTCTCTCTCTCTCTCTCTCTCTCTCTCTCTCTCTCTCTCTCTCTCTCTCTCTCTCTATCTATCTATCTATCTATCTATCTCTCTCTCTCTATCTATCTATCTATCTCTCTATCTCTATCTATCTATCTCTCACACACACACACACACACACACACACACACACACACATGCACATGCAGACAACACGAGCGAGAGAGAGAGGGAGGAGGAGAGAGAGAGAGAGAGAGGATCCTAAGATCCGTATGAGGAGAATGGATGATTTCTCTCAAGGTTGTCGCTAACTTCGGCCGAGGTAGCATGTACGAATACATCAGTCGAATTCTTCCCCTGGTCAATACATCAGTCGAATTCTTCCCATGGTCAATACAATACATCAGTCGAATTCTTCCAGGCCATACTGTCAAGGATCAAACTCCTGATGAGATGGTGAAAAATTCCCACGAGACGGTCCGTCACAGTCATTATTTTTTTGTACAGTGGTACGAACACACCGAGGTTCGAACTCCTGATAAGTCGGTGAAATTCCGACGAGACAGTCTATCACAGTCATGGATCTTTTGTGAGTATTGCGAGCATCTACACACACACACACACACACACACACACACACATACACACACCCATGCTTTTTTATGAGAAGGTGAAAGTCCGACGGAACAGTTTGGCGCAGCCATGCTTTTTTTTTTTTGTGGAGGTGTGTATAGCGAACATGACACACACGAAAGTACGCGTGCTTTAAAGATCAAGATGATCCTTGATCGATCTGCAGAAGCGAGACTAGAGTGCACACTCACACACGCGCGCGCGCATGCATCCGCGCGCGCGCGCGCACACACACACACACACACACACAGGCACACGCGCTCAACCTCCTAATCAGTCGGCGAAAGTACGACGAAACAGTCTGGCATAGTCATGCCTTTTTTTAGTGAATACCGAATACGACAACACACACGACACGAAACAGTCAGGCATAGTCGCTCAACCTGCTGTGCCTTTTTTTGTGTGAGTGTGGGGGAGGGGAGGGGGGGGGGAGGATTGTGTGTAGCGAACATGACAAACACAGGCTTCCATTCCCACTGCTAATTTCCCCCCCAGAGGCACCATTCGCTCTTGTACGTACACAAGCAAACACAGAGCACAGGGATTGAGGGAGGCCAAACGAGTGGTAGGCCCATACGTCGTATGTACGAGGTTAGGAGAGTCGGCGGGTCTGCGATCGCCGGCGACGACCGTGTAAGCTTATCGCCGCCACTAAACGAAAACATACAGACCGTAAGTGTACCGCTTCTCATTGAAATCGAGGAAGCATTCGTCCTTGTATCGTCCTTGTGTTGTACGTACGCAGGTAAAACACAACAAGGCACAGGGATAGAAAGCGGCCAAACGAGTGGTCGCTGCATAGGTCGTGTACGAGGTTAGGAGAGTGTGGGTGTAAGACGCAAGTTCAAATCTCCATAGAGACGACCGTGCAAGCGTAGCGCCAGTAAACAAAGCATACAAAGCATACAGACCGGAAGTATCCATTATGATTGAATCGAGGAAGCCATCCTCGTCGCGCGCGTGGCCCCTCTCCTTCTCTCTCCCACGCCGTGTTCCACTCCGCGGACGCGCCGGGCACCTGCACGTGGGATGCCCCGCCTGGCCACTCCCGTAAAGGGAAAGTAGGGACCACTGCGTTTGAAAATTCCAAGACGATGCAGCGGCCTAGTTCAGTTGGTTAGGCACGCAAGTGCCATTCAGGAAGTCGTGGGTTCGAGCCCCACCGCCGCCTGCGGCGCACTTAGTGCCAACCGACTGTGAAAGTCCGCTTGGTACCCCTCATCACTATATGTAGGGTCTATGAACAACACGGGTGCGAGTGTGAGTGTTAGGGCCAGATCCCACTACCCCCCCTATTGTTCATTGCTGACCGTTGACCTTCGTAATCGAGGGTGAAAAATGAATAATCGAGGGTAGTGGGATCTGACCCTTAGCGTGAGTGGGTTGTGTGTGGTGTGTGGGAGAGTGTTGGTCATAGCCACAGGTGCGAGTGTGAGCGCAACTACTGGCAAAATGCTCAGTCTTTGCATTAGCCGGCTCCCCCCACTGACGGCCCCATCCTACTCCCTGACCACATTAGGGCGGGGAGGGGTCCCCTGTATAAGCTTAGTAGTAGTGGTGGGTAGTGAAAGGTGAAATTGAGAGAAGACAATAGCTTAGTAAAGAGAGGGGGCGAGGGGGGAATCCAAGACGATTGGCAATATACATGCATGCTTTGAACAGAAAAAAAAAAAAAAAAGGGGGAATATCAGCTATACCCAGTCCCAGCACCAACTTGCATCTATAGACAGAAAACGGGCAGTGGAAACTGCTTGCATGCCCAATACCGAGGTGGACCCAGGTTGGTACTGCACAATTGCAGTTATAACCAACTACCGGGACACACAAATTATGGACATACCAAGGCAAAATTATGGGGCA